TCACCAACACCTCTCCATGATCAGGAGGGGGTCCAAGTGCAGTCAACCTCACCCCTAGGATTCTAATAGCTTCGTCCTCACGTGCCCATGCGACAACCGACTGAGGTGGCGGTGGTTGGCCTTGGGGGTGGAGCCACCAACCTTCTGTCTTGGAACCCCATTTCACTTTCATATCGGCAGCCAGTGAAAAGGTATGTATAACCTGTGTAAGAGCTCGTATGCTGTCATCGTCCGCCCTGTGTAAGAGCTCGTATGCCGTCATCGTCCGCCCTGATAAGAACTGTAAGATCATCAACAAACAGCGAGGTCACCGGGATGAGATGGTAAGGAATGTCTGGGATAGGTACTTTGCTAATCTTGGGGTGGGATCTGATCCCATATTTGTAATTGGATGGAGTAAGTGAGGTCTGCATGGCTGGCTTTTTGGGGGAGGGACAACAGTGATGAATAGGTATGATTATGATTGGGAGGCACGCACCGTACACCCCTGAGGGGGATCGATGTTTCTCAGCCGGGTGCCCCTCCCAGCCAAGAGAAAATTCGCTTTCCCCGCCTTCGACTCCCTCTATTCTCTTCTTGACTGTCTCGCTTTGTCTTGTCAACTGATGACGTCCGCCCCTTTGCGCACTGATGTTTCTCAACCGGGCGCCCCTCCCAGCCTAGAGAAAATTCGCTACCCCCTCCTTCGACTCCCTCGATTCTCCTCTTAACTGTCTCGCTTTGTCTCGTCGACGGATGACGCCCGCCCCTTTGCGCGCTTCCCGCGTTTTTTGAGCCAGATGCCTCCTTAGTCCCGCCTATTTCCACGTTGGCATCTTCCCTGTTCCGTCCCTTGTCATCCCCTTCTCTACTTTTTAATTGTCGTGCCAGGTGCCCCTCCCAGCCTAGGGAAAATTCGCTCTCCCCTCCTTCGACTCCCTCAATTCTCCTCTTGTCCATCTCGCTTTGTCTTGTCAGCTGCTACCCCGCCTCCCCCTTCTCACCCTGTCTCTTCCCTTAGGTCGATCTCGGTCACCCGTGCCCTTACAAAATTCGATTTATCCCCCTGGCTGCCATGTGGTATCGTGCTACCCCGCCTCTTCCACGCGTGTGTCCTCCCAGGCTTTCCAGGCTACAGCTGACGATGCCACCTTTTCGCTATTATTATTGCGATCGTTCTTTCTTGGCACGCTTGTGTCTTCCACGTGTCCCCGTTGGCTACCGGTGTCCTCCTGCCTTCCACCGGCTATGGCCGCCACTCAGTCAAGGGCGGGGCAGGACTGGACGCCCAAGGGGTTGACCCAGGCCACCGGTTCATTGACCTGTTACGGGGTTGCTCTTCGTCGTCGCGTCGACGGTAGGGCCTGCCTTCCGTTCGCGACGCAGCGCTAACGCCAGAATCCGCTCTCAGTAGGAGCGTTCCGAAGTCGGGCAGTAAACTATCTCATGCATCCATAGATACATCTCTTGTGCTATGTTGGGTGAAAGCAATCTCTTACATGACACATTCATTTCATACCTTTCACATCAGAGCATGAAAGATGTATATTCACGTCACCTATTCAAACTTTCAAAGCACGGAAGATGTATTAGGCTTTACTATCACAGGTAATCATACATGCAGGTGGATGCCATGCGGAAAATTCCGCGCGTTTGGCGCACGAGTGGACCCGCATGGTGCGACGCACGCCATGTGTGGTGCACGGGGAAAATATTCACTCAAAAAAAAGAAGGGGTCGCATGGCTGGGTCAATGGTCACCTGCGTCCCCTTTAAAGGTTTGTTGTGGGATGGGAAAAAAAAAAACAAATTGGCGGGAGGGTAATACCACTACCTAAAGGTCAAGACTGATGTCCCAGACACCTTTTTGAGGCTATTTCTCATGCCCAATTCGACGGAAAGAAAAATATGTACGACTGTACTTGGAAAATATAAGCTCCTTAGGTGTTGCACTCTTATGTATCTACAGAAACAGTGGCACAAGCAAAACTCGGAGGCGCCACGCGGCCAGGCCCGCCGTTGAAAAAAAAAAAAAAACCGGCGGCCACCGAAGTGGTGTTGGTTTCATGCTAACACCCGCGGGCCTGAACTGCACGTACAAAGGTAACACTAAGGCTCAGAACCGCCCTGACAACGGTTGGGCTGAGGCCCAGAACTGCCATGACAACTCTGGGGCCAGAACTGCTGCCCTGTTACATGCCCGGTTGGGCAATGTACATCATAACCGAGGATCCGCAATGTGATGAAAAGGACTGAATGGACAATGCAGTCCAAGTGAAATCTCAACAAGCAGTGTACATTCTGATACATACAAAATGGCGCTTTATAGCACAGGGAAGACTTAGATACAACTCCTGACCTGACCAAGACTGACCTCTATCACGTAGTGCAAGATAGCGTAGCAGAATGATAGAGTATCAATGACTAGCCCAATCAATATTGCAACGCAGACTAAACATACATCATTCTCATCACAAGGTGTGAGGAGACCTGGCGCTATACACAAGAAGGCGGCGCCAGGCCCTGATCATGCACAGACGAAGAGGAGGGGAACAGACGAAGAAGAGGGGGAGAGATGGGAACGTCGTCAACACCAAGTCTTTGTCACAAGTCCCAAATAATCCTTCGTCAAAATGTCTGAAGCCCAAATGTCGAGTCTGGATCCAAATGTCACCAAGCTCTCTCTTTCTCTCGTACTCTGCTGATGCAGTGAAGTCAGGTAGCGAGAGGGTGAGAGGGAGATGGTGGACTGAGAAGAGGAAGAAGAAGAACTCTTTCTCTCTCTCTCTCTCATATGCCAGGTACTAACCTGTGAAGATGGAGGCTGTGCTGCAGGTACCTCAAAGGCGAAGCTGGAGCTATGGCGCTGCACGTAAGTATCCCTGGCCTCCGCCCAATCTCTCTCTCTCTAGTACTACTCTAGCTCCTATGGCGCCCAGCGCTGAAGACTACTGCTAACGCTACTAGCGCCCAGCGCTGAAGACTACTGCTAGGGCTGCAACTACTCCTGCAGCGCTCCTCCAGAGTGCTGCTGCTGAATCCTGAAGACTACCTCCTGCCTCCTGAACTGCACGTGAAGTGCCTGGGGAATACCTAGGAACGACCTGCAGCCTGCAGGGCGGGCCAGTCCTATATAGTGCTGGCCCGTCCAGGAGGCTGCTCTTGCCAATGCCGGAACGTGCCAGACCCTGGCGTTGAAGCTCAACCAGGGGTTGTCTTGAAAACAGGCCCAGAATGGCCTGTGCTAAAACCCTGGTTTGGTGCCTGAGTTTCAGGGCAGGTCGAACTCAAAATGGCCCTCAGTTCCAGGCTGAAAAGACTCAGGGCCAGAAAGGCCCTGATTTAGGCTGAAACGACACAGGGCCTGTAGACCCTTGTTTTCAGACTTTCAGGATGAAACGACACGGGGCCTGTAGGCCCTTGTTTTCAGGCTTTCAGTCTGAAAACGTCACGGGCCTGAAAGTGGCCCATGCAGCCTGTTGCAGGCGCAGCATGTAACATGCCCTGACAATGGTCAGTTCTTTCATTAATCGGTCCTTTTTTTATTGGTGGGGAGCAACGGTCAGGTTGAGGCCCAGAACCGCCGCCGTGACAATGGTTGGGCTGAGGCCCATAACCACTCGGATGACTCTTACTAATGGCCTCAACTGGCCCATAACCACTCCGCAGTGACAATGGTCGGGTTCAGGACCAGAGCCCCTGTGTCAACTGTACAGCCTGCAAAGCTTGTCAAGGCGGTTCAGGGCCTCAGCCCCCCGACACTGGTAAGGTTCAGGCCCCCGATGTGAAGGGTCAGAATTCTTTTCCTGGATTCCGATCGGTCTCCAAGGCCATTCAGCAAAACGGGCTCGGTAGGCTACCCTCTTCCCCGGAACACAACACACCCCGATCATGGATGTATACAAGCTATCTTTCCACATCCATACAGTCATGATGAGGGTGCATTGTGGGGAAGAAGAGGAGAGCCAGCAAGCACGTCAATGGTTTTCTTCGACATAATAATAAGCTGACGCGGACAGTTGTCACAGATAGCCAGGTGGCCGCTGATGGCCACAACAAGGCCACGGCCGGCTTTTCATATCAGCCACCAACCAGTTCATACGAGCTAAAGTTGACGAAGCTGCCCTCCAAGGCTCTTGAGCCTGCAACTGCACACCTTTTCAAAATGGCCTGCTGCTTTCTCTACCGGCCCAGGCCCATATCCAAAAGCTCTTACTGCATGTTCCGGTGAGAGGAGTACAGTAACTCTGCTTCGGGTGAACTGGCTGTTTAAACTTTAAAGAGTAAACCACAACAAGTACTTCAAAGGCACTTTTTCTCTGGGGCCGGAAACACACTGCGCGCCAAACGAAAAAGAACCGGCGCAGCCAGCCATTTTCCTCCGGAGGCCGAGCCCCGAAGTTGCACCGGTATACAAGCCGCATATTTGTGTCATAGCGGGGAAACGTACTGGTGGTTTACGGAAAGGAAATATCTGACCCGCTGGTATCTGGGCTGAAACCACTACCGTCTTCACCCGAATAGAATGCCCGGTCATTATAGCCATATCTGGTACAATTTCGAGTCCAGATACAGCTATAATGACCAGGCGTTCTATTCGGGTGAAGACGGTAGTTCCCTTGCCGAGTGGGAAAATAGCGGGCCTCGGGTGGGCGTCCAACCTTTTAGAAGGCCGAAACGAAACGAAACGAAGGCCGTAGATGAGATTTATCAATGGCAGCCGTCGTCGGGCCCGGCTTCCGAACTCTTTGGGAACAGCCCGTTTCCCAAATTTCCCAACACTGGCGGAGGTACGAGTAGTGCTTTAAGCCACCAGTCGGTCCGAGCCTCTTTTTGCCCTACGCGCTGTGCTGCCCAGCTCTGAGACAACTGAACCGCGTCACGGGCGCGATCTTGCCAGGCGCCGCCAGCTTTTTCCCTCCGAAACATAGGCCCGAGACGCAACATTGGACTGCTGGGGGATGAGGCGAGATGGGGTAAGTTGAGTTGGGTGGGCGTGTAGGGTGCGGCGAGAAAGCGAACCATCAAAGCTTTCCATAGCAGTTGCCGGTTCTTGGCGTTCCGAATGGGAGGTGCACACTTAAACCGTGTGTCGCCGTCCGGTATCTCTTCCGCAGCAAATGTCAGATAGTGAGTACATGTCTCGACCGTCAAGTTTATTCCTCGCGACTTCGCATCCTGCAAACAGCACCCACAGCCGGAGTCCGTCCGTCAAGTTTCAAATTCTGGCAAGTTCAAAAAAGTCTCGTAGCAATATATATATATATATATATATATATACGATATATATATATATCGTCACAAATATATATATATCGTCGATATATATATATATATTTCAGCCTCCTGATGAGTCGGTGAAACTCCGACGAAACAGTTTGTCACAGCCCCTCGTTTGTTGTCCTCTTCTCCCTCTCTGCCTACGGTTTACCGGGCAGTTCTATTTGACGATATATATATATATTAAGAATTTAGGATCTGCAAGAAGACACATAAGATCCGTATATCTGCTCGAGAGTTTGTATTCTCTCCGGGCACGATTGATTCGTGACTGCCGCCCTTCGGTTCCTGGCTGGGTCAGTTTCCCTCCCCGCCCGACTATGGCGGCTCTGTGGACTGCTCAAACAAATGGTTTATCAAGTACATGCAAAATTCAAAGTTGTAGTAGTTTTAGTTGTTGTCATCATCTATATTACAGATGGTCAGCTGTGTTAAGTATGAGAATACTATGATGGTATATTCATCAAATCATATGATCCTTTTTTTTTTTTTTGGTTCCGAATATTTTGATTCTTTTGAGATCTGAAGCTATGATCCTCATTCCAGAATGGATAAGGAGCCAGGACCATAAGGACCTGCTTATTCAAAAAAAAAAAAAAAAAAAAAGAATGATTCTCATGTAGGGGAGAAAAAAACAAGAACCTGATGTATGTTGATATTAACTTGCTACTGAGAATAACGCCATGCCATGAAAAGTTGCCACCATGAGTCAAGGAAACAGTCTTCAATCAATTAGCTGGTTTCATCAATCTAGGGATAATCAGACTTGAACTGATGGCTTCCACCATGTCAAGGTGGCACTCTACCGCTGAGTTATATCCCTCAACCAAGAAAAAAGAAGAATTACACTGTGGTACTTCATGAGCTTGAGAAATTTGTCATGCGACTGAAGAGCATTGCCGATAGAGGGTCGTCGATAGGGAGGGCAACCGCCGCAGGTTGCGGACAAAAAGGCTCACTGCGAAGATCCGGTGGCGATCGGAGAGCAGCCTTCAAGACGCGCCTTCGGCCCTCGCGTTCGGCGGCTTGCCAGAGTCATTTTAGAAGGATTCACTATGTTCGCTATGCGGACGACTTCCTGATTGGAGTCATCGGACAAGAAAAAGAACAAAAAAGGGAAAAAAAAAGAGAAATAAAAGGGAAAAAAAAAGGGAAAAAAAAGATTTCAACAAAAAAAAAAAAAAAAA